ATCCTGCAAATCATTTGACCCACTGACTTCTCATCTTACTCCAATACGTGGAAAACTGGATTGTACATTCAACTCGAGGAACTGATAAAGTACCCATGGTCAGTAGGTGCTCTTTTCCTAACAAAGACCTTAGCATAACAAATTATATGTTAACAGAAAACTGTCTACATTAATGAAGTATTTTCCAGTTCCACATCTTAAGTGTGGTCCCAACCATGACTCAGTAATATTTTTGAGCTTATGTTCTAGGGGTTTGTTTTATACTGAATGTGGAAGCTTATGGAAGTCAATTTTCTGTCCTTGAGTTCCATCTGCACTGCCCTGGAGAACGCCGGGCAGTAAACATGAACTCCAATCATGGCTGTTAAAACCATAAATCAATAAATCAAAGGCAATAAACACTATAGTTTTTGTTACTAGATCAATGAAGTAAGTGTACCCATGGGAGATGGTGGGTGAGTGCTGGGGGGAGACGGAGAAGGAGCACTGAGATGAATTATCTAAGGATAGGAACACACACACAAAAAAGTTTCAAGAGAACAGACTCCCATAGGACACTGAGTGAGTGAAGTCGCTCAGTCGTGTCCGACTCTTTGCGGCCCCGTGGACTGTAGCCCACCAGGCTCCTCCATGGGATTCTCCAGGCAAGAGTACTGGAGTGGGTTGCCATTTCCTTCTCCACAACAGGACACTGCTACTGCTGCTAAGTCACTTCAGTCGTGTCCGACCATGTGTGACACCACAGACAGCAGCTCACCAGGCTCCCCCGTCCCTGGGATTCTCCAGGCAAGAATACTGGAGTGGGTTGCCATTTCCTTCTCCACAATAGGACACTACCAGGGCTCAAATCCTGGTTCTACTATGGAAAACAGTGTGGAGATTCCTTAAAAAGCTGGAAATAGATCTGCCATATGACCCAGCAATACCACTTCTAGGCATACACACTGAGGAAACCAGATCCGAGAGAGACACGTGCACCCCAATGTTCATCGCAGCACTGTTTATAGCTAGGCTCCTCTGCCCGTAGGGTTTTTCCAGGCAAGAATACTGGAGTGGGTTGCCATTCCCTTCTCCAGGGGATCTTCCCAACCCAGGGATCAAACCTGGGTCTCCAGCATTGCAGGCAGACTCTTTAGTCTGAGCCACCAGGGAAACCCCAAAAGAAACAAAGAACCCTGCAAATCATTTGACCCACTGACTTCTCATCTTACTCTAATACGTGGAAAACTGGATTGTACATTCAACTCGAGGAACTGAAAAAGTACCCATGGTCAGTAGGTGCTCTTTTCCTAACAAAGACCTAAGCATAACAAATTATATGTTAACAGAAAACTGTCTACATTAATGAAGTATTTTCCAGTTCCACATTTTAAGTGTGGTCCCAACCATGACTCAGTAATATTTTTGAGCTTATGTTCTAGGGGTTTGTTTTAATACTGAATGTGGAAGCTTATGGAAGTCAATTTTCTGTCCTTGAGTTCCATCTGCACTGCCCTGGAGAATGCCAGGCAGTAAACATGAACTCCAATCATGGCTGTTAAAACCATAAATCAATAAATCAAAGACAATAAACACTATAGATTTTGTTACTAGATCAATGAAGTAAGTGTACCCATGGGAGATGGTGGGTGAGTGCTGGGGGGAGACAGAGAAGGAGCACTGAGATGAACTATCTAAGGATAGGAACACACACACACACAAAAGTTTCAAGAGAACAGACTCCCATAGGACACTGAGTGAGTGAAGTCGCTCAGTCGTGTCCGACTCTTTGCGGCCCTGTGGACTGTAGCCCACCAGGCTCCTCCATGGGATTCTCCAGGCAGGAGTACTGGAGTGGGTTGCCATTTCCTTCTCCACAACAGGACACTGCTACTGCTGCTAAGTCACTTCAGTCGTGTCCGACCATGTGTGACACCATGGACAGCAGCCCACCAGGCTCCCCCGTCCCTAGGATTCTCCAGGCAAGAATACTGGAGTGGGTTGCCATTTCCTTCTCCACAATAGGACACTACCAGGGCTCAAATCCTGGTTCTATTACTTAAGTTTGGGATCACAGGTGAATTCTTTTTGTCTCAGTTTCTTCATAGTAAAACTGAGCGAAACAATATTTACTTTGGAGAGCTGTTCTGAAAATATAATTCATGTAAAGCACTTAGATACATCATAGGCACTTATTAAGATATTAGCTATTTTTACTACTTATCTAAGGATTTTACTTCACAGTATCTCATTGGACTCAGGAAAGAAGAGAATAAGTCTGTCAGGGTTAATAAAACCCCGTATTGAATAGATCTACTGCTTCTGACTTTAATTTTAGGCTCTGCAATAGTTAAAATGTTTATTTACATATAGCTCAAAAGCACACAGCTCAGGACTGGCACAGCTCATGATATAAAAGTCACACAGACTCTTTATGACTCAGTTCTCTGTCCAGACTCTGAACTCCCTCCTTGATTGGGTTCTTAATATTTAGCCTACAGAACAGGAGACGCATACATATATAAAAAGAATATTCTATGTATTTAGACCAGGGAAAGGTAGACATATAGGATCTAAAAATAATTTACTCATAGGTTACATGGACAAATCAAGAGATTATGCAATGGTGGACATGAGAAAAAGTATACCCACAAAAATCACCATATTACCTTAACTTTAATAAGCTTATGAGGGTTTCTTCTCCTACACCGGTTCACTTCAATGCTGCGCCTGTTTTTAGGAGCTGCCATCCAAAATATACTATCCAGAAGGCTGCAAGTCTCCGTACTTCCACTGGTATCATTTGCTGGTTCTGAAAATATAGCTGGACCTTGGACTGCTAACGCTGGTCCTACAAAATAAACCATGGAGATACAGAATGGTTTCTAGCTTTGAAATGACCGTTTCCAAGTATCACTCTCTTTAACAATCAACAGTAATGTATAAACAGGCCTATGTAACTTAAAACATTACATTCAACAGACATTTAACAGGAAACCTTAGAAGCTATTAAAATATACTTAAAGTTCATACCTGAAATAATTTTAGAACAGAGCATTTCTTAGTGGCACTTGCTTAAATGAATCAGTGAAATTCTACCAAAAGTTTCTCATCTTAAAATACAGAACTCAGGGGTTTAGTTGTAAACATGCATAAAAGTGTGAGAGGAATCAAATTTAAACAAAATAAGGCAAAAAAAAAAATTCACTCAATTGTCCACATTTTACTTGATGAGCAGTACCTAGTTACAAGTAAACCTTAAGTTTGAGGCTTTCAAAATCCACTTCCTACCAGCACAGAAATAAATGCAGATTGTCTTTTTTTTTTTTATTATATTCAAATTGAGTTAGCTCCTCAGTCATATAACCTGATAGGCCCTTTAAGACACTTAGTTCTCATAATATTTAGTCTTGTTCCCTAAGGAAAGTACTCTAAGGAAAAGAACTCACTCATCACTTTTTGTAGGATACTAATTTACTCTTGTGACCACCAACATTTCACTTTTGTTCTTCTAAACTGTTTATAAAAATTAGTGCGAGGTGGGAGGGAAGTTCAAGAGGGAGGGGACATATGTATACCTACTGCTGATTCATTGTTGATGCATGGCAGAAACCCACACAGTATTGTAAAGTAATTATCCTTCAATTAAAAATAAAATAAAACTTAAAAAAAAAAGAAAAAGATTTCTTTACCCTCTCCTTGCTATATTCCTCAGGCCTGCAATATTTCTTTTGATTTTAGGAACTCTTAAAAATATACAAAGCTGTTTAACACTTAACAACTGATATTCCTTTTCAATATACCTGAAAGTATTGCTAAGCACAGACCTGTGGTTAATAGCACAGGCTCTGGAAGGTCGGTGTGACCTTGAGGTCTTCCTGAGTCTAGTTCTTCAGTTGAAAAGTGGAGACACCTAATGGGACTGTAGCGGAGATTATCTTACGAAATATATGTTGACTTTGACATTCAGTGGGACTTTCCTGGTGGCTAAGACGGTAAAAGCGTCTGCCTACAATGCGGGAGAACAGGGTTCGATCCCTGGATTGGGAAGACCCCCTGGAGAAGGAAATGGCAACCCACTCCAGTATTCTTGCCTGGAAAATACCATGGACAGAGGAGCCTGGCGTGCTACAGTCCACGGGGTCGCAAAGAGTCAGACACGACTGAGCGACTTCACTTCACTTCACTTGACTAAATGTCAAGCGGGCTCTTCTGAGTATTATCATCATTATGTTCGGGATAACTTCGAAATCGAGTAGAATGTAAATGTCAAAGCAATGACAATTTTAACAGCCAAGACATTTCCATTTAAAATTAGTTTTCAGGGGAAATAGAGGATCAAGAGTCAATTGACAAAGCTCAAATGCCACAGAAGGCAAACTGCTTTAGGTGGTGGACTGGACTGGAAAGAAAAGAGGATCTAGAGAGCGGTGTCCCTTGATGCTAAGTTAATGCACTTCGGTTACATTCTCTGTAGGAATGGGACAGTCAGAGGACGTTTCTTTTCCTTTTTGCAGGGGACTGTGGGGGGCAAAAACTGCTGTCTTTGTTCCTAAGTAAGTGAATGCCCGGAACATCGTCTCCTACACGCAGCCAAAGATCAGAACACCGGAGCAGGCTACATACGAGCAGAATTCACCACCCTGCCTGGGGTCCCCAGTCCAAACCCTTCTCCACGGAGGCCTTCTTTACGTACCCCATGGAGGACTGGGAAAACCTGGTCGGCTCTGCAGAAGTTTCCGTTGCAGCTGCTTCCAACAGTTCCGGAGAAGTCCTCGGGCTGCGGGCAACGGCGGAACCAGCAGCACCAGCACGGTGGGCGCCATGTTGCTCGGCCGAAAGCCACACCCACCAGGCCTCTGGGTCCCGCCCCTACCGTGAGCATGCGCACAGACACAGAGTCGGGCAAACGCGCACCTGGAACTATAACTCCCAGCATGCTTCTGGAGCGGCTCTGCCTTTCCTCCAATCAGAAGCCTAGAAAGAAAGGCGCGGGGCGGGGAAAAGAAACTAAACTGGCCTCAGTGCGCATGTGCGCGGATGTGCGTTGGGTCTTCGGGTAAAGATGGCGGAGCGTGGTTACAGCTTTTCGCTGACTACATTCAGGTATGGAAGGGACTTCTGAGGTCCTCCACGTAACCGAGGTTGCAGGAGCTCTGCCGACCAGGTTTTTACCTTCCTGGTCTCTGACTTGGCGCTTCCTGACGGCCTAGTAGGAAATGGGGGTGGAAATACGAGTTTGCCAAGTCATTTGCGTGGCCTTCCCGCGGCCTGGGGAGCATTGGTGCCTGGGGGCCGTGGGAATGCGAGTCAGGATTTCCTGGGAGATCTATCTAGACGCTGTGGGAAGTTGAGGCCCTCACCCAGGGATTTTCTTTAGCTTTGGAACTAGAGAAAAAGGCAATTTTGAATGAGCTGCGTCCAGGTTTCCTATTCAGAGCTCAGAAGATTTCCTTCCTGACCCAAGTAGGCCTGATTCAGGAGCTTCTGCAGTTTGGAATCTTGGTCAGCTCTGTGGGGTTCCTTTTTCTTAGAAAGCCCCAACTTTACAGTTCAGTTCTAGTCTTAGCTTCCATTTGGCGCTGATGTCTTTGGAAACCTTTTCCCGCTTTCGATTTTTTCGGTGCCCCTACTGGAAGCTTAAGAACTGAAAGTGAAAGTGGTAATGTTTCTAGCCTGTTGTCTTTTTGGGCTCCAAAATAGGCTGTATTTGCTTTGGGGCTGTTATTTTTGGAAGGGGATATATTTATTTAAAGAAAGATTGTAGGCTTTTAAACTTCGGAGCATTTCTGTAAGCATATTTTTCAAAATAAATCTGAGATGCACTATCATCGTTCCCGGTGTAAGAAAACCGTCACCAAAGACTTTACTGACCGGAGAAGGATTCAATTTGGCCACTTTCCCTACGGTCAGTAATGGCCTATTTAATTAAAAATATTATCTGACAGCTAAAGACAAGCGGCATCTAACTTGTTGAGTACTTTATGTGTGGGTGGAGCTTACTTCTTCTCTTTGGGCTACCCTGTGTGATGAATGTTTTCTAAACATCTTGCGAATGAGGTGACCACAACTCAAATTCAATAACTCCTCCCTGGTCATAGGTTAACATTTAAACTGGGTTCTTTCTGACGACAAAATTAATACATTTTGCATTACTGTGTAATGTCTTCTTAAAATACTAGAATATTTATCTTTAAAAAAGATCTCATATACAATGATAGGAAACAGGGTTTGACAGGTCGCTACTCTTCCTATTTGGAGACAAAACATGGACCTCTATCTTTAAGAAAGTGTTATCCTAATTCTAGCTGAAACACGTAGCAACCATATGTTATCAGGGACTGAATCTTTCTATAATGAATTTCCTTGTTTAAACATCTTTTAAAAAAAATATGATGGTGCAATTCTGTTTTGGATTTTAAAAATTGTTTCTAGCCTGTTGTAATTAGAATTATTAATGGTAGACGTGATAAGAGACTATACTGTAGGATGAAAAGGTGTTCCTGAGGATCACATTTAGTTGGGGATATTGATAACCAGTGGGCTTCCCTCATAGCTCAGCTGATAAAGAATCCTCCTGCAACACAGGAGACCCCGGTTCAATTCCTGGGTTGGAAAGATAAGCTGGAGAAGGGATAGGTTACCCACTCCAGTATTCTTGGACTTCCCTTGTGCCTCAACTAGTAAAGAATCTGCCTGCAATGCGGGAGACCTGGTTGGGTTGGGAAGATCCCCTGGAGCAGGGAAAGACTACCTACTCTAATATTCTGGCTTGGAGAATTCCTTGGACTGTATAGTCTGTGGGGTTGCGAAGAGTCAGACAGTACTGAGCGACTTTCACTTTCACTTCATTGACAATCAGTGGGTAAACAAATGGGTGTCTACTCATACATTCTGAAGAATGATTTTCCCTTATTCGGGAATTTTTATTAAGAAAGGGCGAAAGAAGGAATGTAACTTTAGATTGGGTGATCAGGAAAGACCAATGCTTGGGGGTTGTTCTGGGGGACTGGAAGATGAAAGGGAGCCAACTATTTGAAAATTTAGGGGTAGGGAGAGTTGCCGACAAGGGAAAGCGTGTTTGAAAGTGCTGAAGTTGAGGAAGACTGAATTGATAGAAGGTCAGTGTGTTAGAGTATAGTGAGCAGGAAATTATCCTGGGTCTGAACCAATCTTGCATGGCCCTGTAGGCCAGAGTAAGGAGCTTTTATTGTAAATGAGTCAAAAAATTAAAGGATTTAAGTGGAAGATGTTATGATATAAAAGTATCCGGAACGGGGAATGGAAGTAAGAGTGGGAAATAAGAAAACTAGTTGGAGGGCTATTTCACTTATCCCTGATAGAGCCTGGTGGGCTGCCGTCTGTGGGGTCGAACAGAGTCGGACACGACTGAAGTGACTTAGCAGCAGCAGTGGCAGCAGTAGACTGCTCCTCCTAGGTATATTCCTTAAAAATAGGTGTGGATGTATGTCTGTCTCTCAGCCAGATGAACCTGGTCATTGGTTATATGTTGGTGTGTTGATTGAACACAGCTTACACTTCGTGAATGTTCCAAAGTAATTCAAGTGTGATGACTCTGAGCCAAAGAGGAAGCACGGGACACTCAGGTGTGAGTGTGTGGGGTTTGGCCTAGTCTGGGCGGTCAGGGCAGCTTTCCTTGAGAAAGTGACACTTCTACTAAGGATTGGAGAGTGACTTGGAAGGAGTTCACCAGACAGTGGTGAAGTGCATTGCAAACAGGGATTGTCTTGCCAGAGGGGTTTTTTGAATTCTAACGGTAGTTGTGTCTCTGGAGCGCAATGGCATGGTGTGAGATGAGACTTGAGTGACAGTATCTATAATTTTATGAAGATGAAACAGATGACCTCCTGAATCTGAAGATTATATCCAGTAGACTGGATATGTGGACCTAGCTTATGTCTCACTTTGGACAAATTATTTTCATTCACAGACTTTATCAATCAAATAGAAAGGTTGGTGATGTTTATGGTATTTGTTCTAACTCAACAACTAGACTGAAATAATATATCACCTAAAAAGCCAGTTTGGACCTAGCATTTGACTGCCAAACTCAGTGGAACCAGAGAAGTATAACCAGCTCACAGCATCTTGAAATAGTTTTTTGTTGTTGTTATATTTTGTTGTGACTGACATGTAGATCTTAGGTGTTAGGTTATGTCTACTTTATAAAATGTCAAACTCCACCCACATGGAATATGTGCTGTTATTTGGTGTTTAACAGACAAACATATGTTCTTAGTAACGTTACTATTTGGTGTTTACTTAGTGCTAATTTTGTGCCAGGAACAAAAGGCATCATTTCATTTAATCTTCACAACAACCTTTGAACCCGGTAACACTATTATCCCCATTTTACAGATGAGAAAACTATTGGTGAGTGGTGAAAGAAAAGAATAATAATACTGCTTTAAATGGCAGACAAGAAAAATCAACCAAAGGAAAGAGATTAGTGTTTCATTATGAATATGTTCACATCACCTAATAACTTTGGTTTCTATATAACTTCTGATAAATTTCCAAAGCCCATCTATTGATGCTTGATTAATAGATTTGGCCTATTTGCCTGCCCTTTCTCAGAGATGCTCCTGTAATAAATATTTGAGAATGTGAAATTTAGCAATACCTTTGTTTCTTTTTAAGCCCGTCTGGTAAACTTGTCCAGATAGAATATGCTTTGGCTGCTGTAGCTGGAGGAGCTCCTTCAGTGGGAATTAAAGGTAATTAAATGCTTCATTCACTTCAGATTCCTATTAGTTGTAATGCTTTTTGGGGATTAATAGGCCATTAATGTAAAAATAAATAGCTGTGGCGGCATAATTTTTAACAGTTCTTTTTGTTAATCTACAGTATTTTGATGTTTAAAGAAGTAATAAACCAAAGAAGATGATTAAATTTTTTAACTTAGAAAAGGTTAATTGTAAAATTTAAGGATACCTTGTAAAAATGTATCACTGGTTTTCAAGTTTCAAATTATAAGAACAGTAGGCTAAGTAGGCAGAATTCCATAATTTTAAAACTTAACGTACTCTAACGTGTCCTAGAATACTTTAGGAAAAGTTGCATAATACCTTTAACTGAGGGATTTCTTGTGCAATACAGATGATTAAACATTCAAGTCTTTTATTTTCTTTTTTTTAAGCTGCAAATGGCGTGGTCTTGGCAACTGAGAAGAAACAGAAATCCATTCTGTATGATGAGCGAAGTGTCCACAAAGTGGAACCAATCACCAAGCATATAGGTTTGGTGTATAGTGGCATGGGCCCAGATTACAGGTACCTTGTATCACCATCACATGAATTCCTTGTAATCGATACTTTGGGAAGAAAAAACAAGGGATGTTTTCCTTTAATCGCCTACCTTCTTGTTTTTTTGCTTAGTTGAAGAACAGCAGCTGAAGTTAGTTGCCAGTATGAGGCAGACTGGGGGTTTCTTGAAGGTGAAGAACTCAGTGCTCCTCACTTGTTAAAAGAGGAGATGGATATAGTACTCACTCCTGTCAGCTCTGTTCTCTTCTACCATCCAAGGCCTCAGCAATACATGTTATAATAAACTATATTTTTAAAAAGTTTACCAGACAGCAAAAGAAAGCATACTACCCAGAGTTAACCTCATTGTATTTATTTCTGTTTTTAGCAAAAGGACAGAATTCTCAAAAAGGCCACTGGAAGTTGTAGAGTATGACAATCAGTTAGGATCCAGATGTTTATGTAGTCTCTTCTTTAATATTCACAGGAAGAGAGTAATCTGGTTCCATCAGGGTACCAGCAAGTTTAAAGAGATTGATAGTTTTCTGTTTGTCATTTAACAGTTGAAAGGATTATTATTACTTCATTGATTTGTGGAACAATATAGGTAGAGCTAGAATTTCACTTTTATGAGTCGGCAACAGCACTAGTGTCACCGACATATAATCAGGCTTCGCTGCAGTGGAACCTGTTACCACTTCAGGGAGGGAGGCTGCAGTGTATTACCACTCAACAGAATAAACAGAGACTTGGCAGGAGTCTTGTTCAGAGGGATAATGTGTACAGCTCAGATCAGTAGTACATGAGCAGGTAGAGCTAAATCCTGCTTGTCTTGCCAATATATTTAATCGTTATACTTTTGACAAATTTTACATTTTTTACATTATAAACAGTTTCATGGTACTCTTTGAAGTTCAGTCTGTGGACATGATTGAGGCAGAGTGAGATGCCTTAACACGTGTGTATGTGTGTTCATGTGTGTGCATATTAGTGTATTACCTGGAATGAGATATAAAATGAGAAGGTACCCTCTCTTGGGATACGGGGGGCATACTCTTGGAGATTCTGTGACAAGAGATAAAAATCTCATGTGCATTAATGCTGTGTCTGTTAAACTGATTGATACCCCTAGTCCATAGTTTTCCTTTTGTCTTATTCTTGTCCATTTCCTGTAGTTTAGCTCTTCAGTGACACTCTGATATTTTCTTTTAAGTTAGCTGTAATTGGATGACTGGTTTACAGCTGAGAGCTACTGTTAAAGAGATGCATGTCAAACTTGTGCTATAGTTGTATGCCTATAGAAGGTGAATGAGTCTTGAGGATGTAAAGCATATGAATTTTAATTAAGTCTTATTTCTTTTCTATTTTTCAGGGTACTTGTGCACAGAGCTCGAAAACTAGCTCAACAGTACTATCTCGTTTACCAAGAACCTATTCCCACAGCTCAACTGGTACAGAGAGTAGCTTCCGTGATGCAGGAATATACCCAGTCAGGGTAAGTTGATTTTATTATTTGAAATGTGTCATGAATTAGGAAAAAAAAAATCATCTTACTTTTGTAAAAGTAGACATACTTCAGGAAAAAAAAAAAAGAGGATTTAGTATTCCTGTATTACCTTAATCAGTGAAGAAAACCACTGTGAATGAATAGTTCTGATCTTAACTGGACTTGAAATATTTTCTTAAAGAGAAAGTGGGAATGTATTGTAGCTGTTCATGTAACAGCAGAAAGCAGCTTCTAGATAAAGTCCTTTTGACAGTGATTAAAACATTTCTTTATGGGCAGGCAGTCATTGCTGCCTCCAGATTTATCTTCTAGCTAGAAATGATTATAAGCACTTGATGAAAGCAGTAACTGACACATCTGTATTCATTTTAATTCCAGTGTTCTTGAGTTTGGATGTGAAAATGATGAGGTAATTGCTGATACGTAAAACCAGTGGGAAAGCTGCATTTGCTGAAAATCTGTTATTTTGTTAGGACATGAAGTGTTACCCACACTTATTAACCCCAATATTTGTATCAGTCTATTGACCAAAATGATTTGACTGTTGTTCCTCAGTACCATAAAGAAAATTCATTTTGAACTGATTTGTTTAGACAGGTGTTAAATGCTTTTTAAGGAACTTAGAAGTCTAATTTGATTTACCTGGTAACTTGCTTTACCTGAGAGTATTAATAACTTCTTACATTAAGTTGACTTTAACACCATGAAGGTGCCAAGTAATTTTCATTTCTCTTTGTTCAGTGGTGTTCGCCCATTTGGAGTTTCTTTACTTATCTGTGGTTGGAATGAGGGACGGCCATATTTATTTCAGTCAGATCCATCTGTAAGTACCATTAGGTGTATTCGAGTAGATTGTTAAAGTGCTCTTTGAATATCTAGTAAAAATAGAAGCCATAAAACAAGTTAGAATATTTTCTCTTCCATTTGGGCTTTAGAACTAATACATATTCACTTGAACATTTAAAATGTTGATAACTTCATCTTCTGATAAGGAACCTCCTTTAGTTCTGCCCTCTTTTCTTCTGGCATGCTGATTAACTTCACGTACTTAGAATGATTTGTTGAAGTAGGTTATTATCAAATCTCTGTAAATCTGTGGAATTCTTTTAAAAATTATGATTAAAGCTAATTTTAATTTTAATTTAGTTAAAACCTTTCTGGGAGTGGGCAGTGCCCTTTGCCATTAATTTAATCTTGGGGTTGACTTGAAGTGACTCTTCTGCACAAATACTGATGTTACTGTCATGACTTTGATGTTTTGCAAAGTGAGTGAGTCGTTTGCTATAAAGCAGAAGATTGGTGTCTGGGTTGGCAGGTGTCTGGAGAAGGCACCACTCCTCCACGTGTGTCTCATGTCTGTCACTCAGGTTTGCTGTGAGGAGACCTGGAAGAAAAGATTCACGATTAGAAACTGATCTTTCATAGTTTATAGATCATTAGGTAATGGCAGGTTTACTCAATTCACATCTTATGCTCTAGCTTTGTGATCTGATAAGGCAGAAATATTTAGGTTGTTAATTAAATCAGAAAAATTAAGTGTTTGAGGAACTCTGACAGTGTCTGTTACCCCATATCTGAGCTTCTGAAGCTAAATGACAAGTCCTCTTATCTTCCTTTCCTCAGAGTAGCAGAGCCATCATCGTGGGCACCTAGCTTTCATCTTTTGCCCTTTTCCCCTGTTACAGCTAAAAGTCACTTGTTTTCTTTTAAGATATGGTCNAGTGCCACAAGTCATTGTTTTTCTTAAAAAAAATTCTTTAGATATAATGAAGATCTGGAACTTGAAGATGCCATTCATACAGCCATATTAACCCTAAAGGTTAGTTCAATATCTAATGATTGGATTTGTAGTGATTTTATGATTAACTATTTGGAAAATTGACCTTTTCCCCTCCTTCATCAGGAAAGCTTTGAAGGGCAGATGACAGAAGATAATATAGAAGTTGGAATCTGCAACGAAGCCGGATTTAGGAGGCTTACCCCAACTGAAGTTAAGGATTATTTGGCTGCCATTCATAATCAAATAATGAAGTGACTGAAAATGCAGAATTTCAGATAACTTCTCTACTTAAACATGTTTAAAGTATGTTTTGTTTTGCAGACTTTTTGCATACTTATTTCTACATGGTTTGATGGACTGATGTTTTTAAAATGAGACTTATAAATCATAATAAACTCTTAAATTAACTTCCAGCGTTTTAGGAGTTAGTAAACTTTTAACATAGTTATTTCCTGCTTTCCATCACAGTTGATTTCTGGAAACTACATTGAAAAGCAGAATGGTGAAATTGGTCTTTAGTCTTCACACAGTTTGGGTTAAGTCAAACCTTGTCATCTTCTTTACTGTCAGATGTTGTCTGCTTCAGGAAAGCAAAATCCTGATTTCAGTAAACACTGCTTTTGGAGCTGAGAGAATCTGTAGACTTTCATGGATTCTGAGGCAAGGTAGGAAGCATAGCTGTATTTCAGGCACCATTAGGTGTGGATCAGTGAAACCCAGGATGTTCTATGAGATTGCACTGGAGCCGCCGAGAGTGCTGAGCCAAACAGTCTCCTATAGGAGATGTACTATGTAAATACATAAAAAACGGTGTGCTAGTTCCTGTTGACTTTTCCGTCACAAGTACATAAATGTATTTCAAAAGAGCCCCCTAGAGTCTACTAGATCTTTCTAACTCCAGGATGAACATGAGTGCTGGAAATAAAATGCTAATACTTAAATGTCAAAATTACGGCTTAAGTCTCTCCCTCATTCATGTAACCTCTGTAATCAGAACCTTCACTGCACATTAAGACTTCCAACTGCAAGCTAATCATGGAATATCAGAGCCCGGTTTCCATTACATGTGAAGCATAGCACTTAAAGCTTTCTTTGTTTTATAAGGCATCGTAGGTTGAGAGAAATCCTGTCATTAGTCTTGCTCACAGAACGTAGTTTATGAATGTCACTGTTCTTACTAACAAAGAGATGGGGATTTCTGTGACTTAAATGTGGCTCAAAAGATCTCAAAAGATTTGGTTAAGTTTAGGCTTTTTAGGAAAGAGACTTATCTTGGAGTATTTTTGTCAGGATTCCCAGTTCTCCCTGCTGTCACTGTAACCCCCTATAGTGGCAGAAGTGTTATGATGAGAGATGGGAGATGCCAACTTGACCTGTTTCTAGACATTTGTCTTGAAGACCTCATTTAACATTAGTCTCCTCTTGTTGGCTCTTGGTACATTATGAATCCAGCATGCTAAAAAGAGAACTTAATGGTTAAAAGGAATGATTTTGGAGTTAGGTCTTACCTCTCCCCCTTAACTGGCCGAGTGACTGCACATGGTAATTATTTCAGAGGGTTTTCTCAGGACTAACCTTGATTCTGCAAGTGAAAGGCCTGGCAAGGTTAATGGTTGAGTTTCAGCTAGTTTCAGCTCCTTTGAATTTGCTTAGGCTCGCCAATGTCCAACATTAAGAAATCAGAGGAATGCCAAAATTCTTCAAAGAAGGGAAGAGTAAAGGCAGTTTTATTTAGGACCAAAAGCACATGGAGGTTCTTATGGAGCGCTAACAGAATAAATCCTATGGAATAAAGGGAGGAAAAAATGAGCTGAAGCACGTCTGTGTCCAGAGTCTCATCTCTGCTTCTTGCCCCATTAAATCCAAAGCCCAGTTCAGCTGAAGCTTCTCCATGAACACGTCTCCCTTGGTTCTCAGTTTGTTCTCTTCAGTGATCTAAAGTTGTTCCCTTTGTCTCAGTTCTTGGGAAACTCAAGTTTTTGGTCTAGCAACCCACTGCATGCATCCCTACGCCTTCCCAAATTCTTCAGTCTTCTAGCCTGTGGATTCTAGCTTTTAAAATAATTTTAAGTATCATAATGCTCCTCATGTACATTCTCCATTTTCAGTTCCTTTTTTTTTTTTTGTATTAAAAAAACATTTGCCTCCACTTGTTTTGTTTTCTAGTTTCTCACTGAACTGTGAATTCAAGTTTTTGCAAAACTATTAGCAGTGAAATGTGGACATATTTAAAATTCACGTGTGGGGGTAGAAGGGCGTTCAAAAGGAAAGGGGGATCAGGAAGAAAAGTAATACGGATCTTTATAATTATCAAGTGCTAATTTATTGGGCACTGATTAGCCGATAAATATGATCAGAGGATTTTTCATCTATTGCTCAATTATGTTCATGGCTGGAAATGCCTGCTCTCAGTCTTTATTGCAAATGTAGGCAAGCTCCGAGCCCCTGTTGTAAAGAAACTTAAGCTAATATTCAGTGGACTGCCCGAGAACATGTAAGAGTGAGTAAGTCCTTTGGTTTAGAATCCTAATTTCCTGAAACCAGTTCAGTGGTCCTGTATTAATGTCGTATTACTTCACACAGGTCCTTCAATTCATACTCCTCCCATGACTCTGCTCCAAAGGACCTTATAGAACCAGCAATAGTTGGCTACCTAATGATAGCTTCCTAAGCATGAACTTAAAGTTGGACAACTAACACCGATCAAAGGCCTTGTCCCTGATCCATTCATCACTTTTCACTTTTTAAGTACTTTTATCAAGTACTCCTGTATTTCAAAACAGTAGGCTTATATGGTCGTTTCTGGACTCCAAAAGGTTAACTACCATATAAACATTTTCTTCTGCAATATGAGAATTTTGAACTCTTATACGTCCCTCAGTTCCTCTCTGCTTTAATTAGATCACAATGTTGAGCTTAAAAGGTGTTTTTTAATTGGTATTAAGTATACTGTGAGGGCTTCCCAGAGGGCTCTAGTGGTAAAGAACCTGCCTGCCAACGCGGGAGACAAAGGAGACATGGATTTGATCCGTGGGTTGGGGAGCTCCCCTGGAGGAGGACATGGCAATCCACACAAGTATTCTTGCCTGGAGAATCTCCAGGATAGGAGCCTGGCATGCTGTATAGTCCATGGGGTCACAAAGGGTTGGAAACGCCTGAAGTGATTTAGCACGCAAGTATACTGTGATTGCTTTTCCTCAGTTTTTTGCTTTGTTTTTTTCTGTGGCTCACTAATTCTTACCAGCTCCCCCCCCAACAGGACTGTAAAACCCTCTTCAGTCTGTTTTCCTCTTGGTCAGATAGCAGGTAATCTTAACAGTTCTCACCCTACCTTTCACACCATTCCAAGAAAGAACCCTCTCTTCCTGCTCTAATCTAAGCTAGTTGCATGTTGAAACTATTCTGTTTCTTGATTCAGTTCAGTCACTCAGTTGTGTCCAACTCTGCGACCCCATGGACTGTAGCTCGCCAGGCTTCCCTGTCCATCACCAACTCCCGAAGCTTGCTCAAACTCATCCATTGAGTTGGTGATACCATTCAACCATCTCATCCTCTTCCCCTTTTCTTGATTGGCTGGATTTAAAAATTCTAGACTAGAAAGAATTGTCTCCACATTGAGTCTCTTATTAATTGGATACTGGACCCTTTTGTTTTCACTGTATTTTTCACCTGTTTTTAAAATTCTACTTTTTAGTAGACTTTTCTACTTATAGTAGACACTTCCTACTTTTCTATTGATGTTTTAAGATTTGGGATAGCATTTTTAGTTTTGAAGAACTCTACTATACTCCATTATCTCCCCTTTAGGAAAAAATTCTCTTGATTCATGGTTAAAATACCTTTTATCTGAGTGAAAGTGTTAGTCACTTCAGTAATGTGCCACTCTTTGCACCCCCTGGACTGTAGCCTGCCAGGCTCTTCTGTCCATGGAATTCTCCAGGCAAGAATACTGGAGTAGATAGCCATTCCCTTCTCCAGGGGATCTTCCCACCCCACGGATCAAACCCAGGTCTCCGGAATCGCAGGCAGATTCTTTACCATCTGAGCCACCTGAGGATGTTAAAGATATTTAAAAACAAAACGTTTGTTCTGCTTTCTGTTTCCTTTAGATTCCAAACAGAAAAATGTTTGAAAGTGCTGTTTGTGAGTCCCAAACCTGCTTACTGTGCTGTGATTAGTTGCTCAGTCGTGTCTGACTCATTGCGACCGTCGCTCACCACTCTGTCCGTGGGATTCTTCAGGCGAGAATACTGGAGTGGGTTGCCATCCCTCCAGGGCATCTTCCCAACCCAGGAATCAAACCAGGATCTCCTGCTTTGCTGGTGGATTCTTTACTGTCTGAGCCACCAACTGGGGGATGCCAAATATCACCTGTAAATCATTTCTCTGTGGTCTTTCATGTGCTCTGTGACTCCAGAGAAAAACAGGGTTTGGGGGAGAGGGTGATGAGGGGAGTGGGACAGGAGTGCCTTTGTTTTGTGAGGGGCAGAAAAGGGGCCAACACGTTTTCCTATTCAGGATATTAACTTGCATTCTTCATAATGTGTCTGGAACCTTTCTAATCCCCTATCTTCAACATCTTAAATGCTACACTTCTGCCAGGGGAAGGATGGGTAACAGTCCCAACTTCACAGGACTGGAGAGAGGACTTATGTGTCTGTTGGATATACAACATAAGCAATGCCCATTTCTAGTCCTGCCTCAACTACTCCCCTGGTATCCAGAACCTTTTGGGAGTTCTGCTTTGTGAATCACTTGACGCAGCTTTGTTTCTGCTAACTACTCCATCCACGGAGAGGCTTCCTGGTTCAAATAACCACTCTCTAGCAGATTTAACTCTATAAAGTGTATCTTTTAGGCTAAAAGGGTTGGATAAATTAATATGTGAAATGCACTCAGAACAATGCCGGCCATATGTTAAGCATTGAGTAAGTTTCACTGCTCTTGGTCTTCCAAAAACTTATTGACATGTCTCCTGTGCAGTCTTGTTTTCTTTTTTCTTTTTAGCTTTGTAGGTTTGTTCCTTTTTCATTCCTTTAAAGGAGCAGGCAGGCATAGGATAAAATTTAACGTCAAGTTCTCTTTAATTTTTAGAATGAGGCTTAAAGACTTCCCTGGTGGCTCAGATGGTAAAGCATCTTGCCTACAATGCCGGGGAACCGGGTTAGATCCCTCGGTTGGGAAGATACTCTGGAGAAGGATATGGCAACTCACTCCAGTACTCTTGCCTGGAAAATCCCATGGACGGAGAGCCTGGTAGGCTACAGTCCATGGGGTCACAGAGTCGGACACAGCTGGGCGACCTCACTTTCTACTTTATGGGTGACTCTGAACACTGTAGCAGGGTTAATGTCAATTTCCCAGCCCCTTCAGAAGCCACATTTGTCTTTTGTCTTTCTTTTAGAAAGGCAGAGGATCTGTGTATGACACTATGCAGAGCCCGTGATGTTGCACTGGCGAGTGCTTTGGCTTGGAGTCAGAACTCTCAGCTCCAGTACTTAGCAGCTGTGTAACCTCTGACAAGCCTCTCTAGCCAGTTTTCTGTTAAAATGAGCCAAGCATTTTCTACAACCGTCGTTTGGCACTCTAGGGGTTTCAGCTTGATGGCAAAGTGATGTGCTTGGTCCGAGGAGAGGAGCTGGGCGCCATCGGGAGATTTTCTCCACCAAAACGCACCGACTCCCGCCCCAGGCAAAGTCTTAACTATTAGATCAAATGCTAGGGTGCGGGTTCAGCCGACCAGGCACCCTGGGGATCGAGCGGTCGGCGGCCAGTGGGAGAGGCGCGGTCCTGAAAGTTCTACCCCTGCTCCTTTCCTGGAGCCAGGAAGCCGCGCGTCCCTTGGTTCGCTCCGCGCCGGCAGTTAGGAAAAGTCGGTGCCATCAACAAACATGGCCGCCATGCTAGCGTCAGCCCCGCTCTCGAGGCCGCGCTGCCGCCTGGGAATCG